CAGTTCACCTAAGGCCCCCAAGAACTTAGAGCCAGCATTGGATACTCAAATATACCAACAAACATCTATACTAATCAAAACACAAAGCTTACACGTGAATTCCACTTGACATGTCTCAACTTGACGTTGTGCCTAATTGAAATGTTTGTTGGTTCCTAATTAAAATCTGACAGTTAAAAATAAAGTAAATTTGAGAACTTTGATTTCTTCTTTGCCCCCACTATTTGCTCCGCTTTCTACACTTCATAAGTAAGTACTTTCATGTCACCAAAATTTTAGAAATTAACGTTTCGATTTGTTTGATTTTGTGCAACACAAAACAAGTATAACTTTCATAAATGTCTTGAGTGCACAAATGTGTAATTGGTTTTGATGGGTGTTTTGTTTTGATTATAGTTGGGAAAAGTGCGCTATTGGGTCTAAACATTGCTAAAAATGGCAGAAGATTACCATGCCGAGCGTCCCTTGTTTGGTGGCAATAGCCAGCACATTCCCTCTTCGATTTCAGGTTAGTTCTTATATCTATGTATACATATTTAAGGGTTCATTAATATTTGAACACTAGACAAGGCCATTGACTGGTGAACTTGTGCTGCACTTGCAGGATGTGAGCAACATTCGACAAGTCCCTGATCATCAGGTTATTGATGCATTTTTCTTTTAATAGTTCTCCAATTTGTTTCCTTCATATGATGCTCTGTCTGTTTCAGTTTCATTATCACTCTTTTTGGATCTCAATTGTTGACTGACTTCGTGTTGTAATAATTCATTGCTTGTTTGAAGGAGGTTTTTGCGGACCCTGCGCGTGATGAGAGTCTGATATTTGAACTTTTAGATCTGAAACTTGAAGTTGCTGACAATGGAAGTGCCACCTGGTTTCTTCAAGACCTTGCCAAAGAGCAAGATGCTGAGGGAGTCATGGTAACTAAATCAACACTCACATTTTATTTTTCAGGGCTTATTATAAAATGTGGTATCTAGATAATTTTTTTTGGCTTTGCATCATTGTATTTGCATGAGTAAGGGATTCCATATTTAATCTATTGAAAAATGGAGGATGGTGGCGTTGAGAGTGTATATTATTATTGAGTAGTGTTAGACAAATATATCCTTGGTATTGGCATATTGTATGGGCTATTGGAAAAACAATTAGAAATATTATTTGTAACTTTTACACTTGGTCATGTGTAATAGAACCTAGTGGCTAATTTATTTTTTCCCTTTTTTTTTGTTGGCTTTGGAGGTGTGGTGGTAGAGTGACCATTTAAAGATTTTGTATAAAGAGTGAGTGGTATGAGATAGGAGACATATAGAGTAGGAGGGAGGAAGATAAAGTTGGGAGACTGTCATGTTACATCAATAGAAACAGAATGGTAAAATTGGCCTTTCTCACTTTTCTGAGTCTAGAGAAATTCTATGAATCTCTGTGTTTTGTTTTCAGATGATGAACCATTTATTGGTTTGTCCATTTCATCTTGTACCCTATGATGTTTACCAATCCATGGCTGTAAGTTTGGTACTGGCAAATTTGGCTAATTTATATGATGACTCAATTGCTTGCACTGTTATTCATATAAGCTTTGTTTATGTTGCTAAAGAAATTATTTATAATTGGTATTTCTGATATGTTCTAGAGTTTCTTGTCATGTGTCATCCCCTTTCCAATCAACTTTAAGCTCAACATTGAATGTTGGCTTTTACTTGTTGCTCAGTAAATAACATCAATTGTTGATGCATGCAGGTAAGATTCCTCTTGCTGCAAATGAAAAGTTTTATATAAGGAAAATTGCTGGTATGCAGTTAATTTGCATTGCTCTGGTTGGAAAATTTTGTGGTAATCCTCTGGTTCTCACTTCGAGCTAGCTTTCAAAACTACACGAATTCATTTTCTAAATAAAATCAGTCAACATTCATTTTCTTTTTTCCACTTGCTTCAGCACTTGTTGAATTGAACACTATTATAACATTTAATATTTACTATTCATCTTTGATTATATAACACTGTTTCATTTATTGTTTTGTCAGTTACTTTATGACTTAATTCCACAATGCTATTACTTATTCTAGCTGGCACTTACATATATTGAAGATACACAATTCACATTACACAATTCATGGATGTATACATATCAAAGTGATGATTATAGAAAATAATTTTAATAGTGAAATGTACAGTGCATATATTATGCACCAACACTAAGGGAGAAATGTACAGTGCATAGATCAAATCAGCCTAAGAGAGAAATTATATGAGCCACCAATTAGTTTATTTTTGTTTATTTTGTCACGTGGCCATTCTCTTCACAATCATGATGATTGTTATCATATTTTTTTTAATGATTGTTATCAATTTGGATATAAAATAAAGGATCAATAGGGTAATATTATTGCTGCTGAAGTTGTAGAGATCAAATTAACATTATAGAAAAATTATATATTATTATTGTAAATTTTTTCAAAATTATGTAAGTCTGACGAAGTATTTCTTTTATAATAATGGTCACATAATAAGTCATATTATTTATAATATGGTATAATGTGCCAAGCTATAACAGTGCAATTCAGATGAGTTTGGTTGTCAAAAAACTTGCTAGACTCAACCCAAATAGTATTGACAGTTGCCCAAAGACCGCTTAGAAATTGACCACAAAACCTAAATTCCTCTTCCCAATTGAATTCAACAAATAGTTTTCTAGACTTTTTTGGTTGGTAAATTTTTTGGGCTATCATCTTTTGGGCTTTCTGTTGATTTTTAATTTTTTGATAGTTTTCTTTGCAAATATCTACAGCCCAACAACCAAAGAGATTTCCATCGGGGATCGAGGACGGGGAGTGTGATCCCCGGCCCCGCCCCGCCTCGTTGCCATTACTAACTGATAGATCCCATACAACTCTATGATCACTCAGTCTTATAGCCTTACCATGCACCTGCCAAAATAAAGGGTTGAAACTTCATAACCTGTCTCAGCAGGTGTTGGTTCTTATTAAACCAAGTATGAACAACAAGGTTCTTTATGTAAGAAGATACTATTTTTTTTTTTTTTAAAAAAAAAAAAAAGAAAAAAGTGCTTGGTGATTGTTTATTGGTGTTATTAGACTTTGACTTTTGAAAAGTAGTATATTTATGTGGATTGCTTTCGTGAAACCTGTGGTAGTTTTTGGTTTGTTGTACTCATGAAGTAAATTAGATAATGAGAGGCAAAATGCGATAAATCATCTGTTTCTCCTCTGCAGCTCCTTGCATTTATTAACTTCTGGGATATTGTGCATATTTTTCATATGATTTTTTATATGTCCTGCTGTGTGCGTGAGGTTTATTGCAGTAATATTGACATGCTTGTTTTTAGACTTATAATGATTTTACATTTTTACTTGGAACATTGTGTTAATAGAGAAGTGAAAATTGAAGATCAAGAGATAACAAATAGCTAACATTTTTGTTATCAAGGTTGGAGATGATGTGATCTAGTATTCAAGTTTTAGCTGAATTGATTGCTTCTATAAAGAAGGCAGCATTAGAAGATGTTAATGGTTGTTTAGGTTAATAACTAATGCTGTTGAGTACTTTCCATGTGTATGCTTTCTAATGCTTGCTGAAATTTTAAACTCATTTTTGATTGTCGTGTGTTGAAACAGACAATGGCATGGATCGAAATTTCATGGCTACTCACCCGCTGTGGTGACTGGTAAACCTATTGTAAGTAAACATAGACTAGTTTGTAATTGACATTACTTTTTGATTTTTTCTTCTCATGGTTGCTGATGCTTTTGCTCTATGTTATATTAATGGTTGTTTGATGAAACCAAACTTTCAAAATACACATATTGTGAATACAATGCATAAATAAATAAAAAAAAAAATCATTGTAGATGCACTTGCGAATTTCATAATTTCTTATCTTTCTTGCCTTCTTGACATGGTATGCAAGAGTATGTAGATTTTTCAACCATTCAAGTTTATTGAAGTTGTGTTAATGGAATTGGATGATTCAGGTATATAATCATCATTTTGGTGAAGATGATTGATGACTTCATGAAGCTGAAGAGAGCTGCGGATGAAGTTATTTTCAGAGAATTTGGAGAGCACACTGAATATTATTATTTTTATGATTTTGTATTGTCATATTGTATTTAAAGGGGTTTTATTTATTTATTTATGGAAAATTGAAAAATGAATGCTCATTCACATTATGGTATATATTTTGAGAATGGTGATGGATGATGATGGATGATATAGGTTTGGTTTGAACAAAAGTCAGAAGATCATTAATTATCATTTTTCATTTTTTTTTTCAAAAAAATGAAAAAAATGGTGGCGTTTTTCTTAAAAACGTCGCGAAATGTCGTCATTATGACGTCAGAGATAACTCCTTTAACATGCATAGTTAACGGCTGTAAAGAATTAGCGGCGTTTTAGAAAGCGTCGTCTAAAGTCTTTAGTGGCGTTTTTCAAACGTCACAAAGATACAACGACGGCCGCATCATCGACGAATTTTATAAACGTCGTTTTATCTTTTTGCGGCGTTTTTGTAGCCTATAGCGGCGTTTTATAAACGCCGCTAATTCCCGAATTTCTTGCAGTGTGGATAAACGCAAATGAACATGTTTGATTAAAGCTTTTTTTTTTTTGGGGCGTTACATGAACCTTGGTAGGCTTTTCCTAGATAGGTAAGACTAGTATTACTCCTAAAAGATGAATTCAAAATTGTGATTAGTTTGAAGAGCCAAAGGTTATAATTTCTTGAAAATTAACAGCATCCAGGAGTTGTCCAGTTCTTGGATCCAATGCAGGATAGGGTGTCCACAACAATGAATGAGAAAGATTCAAAGAGCTATAGATTTTACGACAAATTAACATAGACTTTCAAAATTAGTAGAATCCTTCAATATACTTATGATATCCATTAAGCATATATATATATATATATATATTCATACTAAAAGAAAGTCTTGCGTGCACATGTTATTTTTACTATAGAGGCACACTAAAGAAGTTGCATTCAAACTTCTCTGTCTTTTCTGTTTTGAAACTCTTCATTAATTATTTTTTGACAAGCCTTGATGCAAAAGCATTTTGAAGGGAATCCTTCACATTGTCCATCAACAAAGCCCTCTGTTTGGCAGACATTACCCCAGTTTCTATCACTGAAGCAATATCCCTTAAAGTGGTGGCTTTGTGAGTCGCAATTCCTAGCATCCACGCCAACCACCATTAGACTCATCCCTACAGCCAACACATAGAATATGGTATGTGAAGAGAATAAAAGAGCGAGGAGGGGAAAAAATCACATAATTTGAGAAACATCTTAAGTTTGAATATTGAATATCTTAAATTAGAGATCAAGGATTCTTTATCACCAAATCCCTTTATTCTATCATATTCATTGATTTTGATGGCATCATAATGACTTACCATGATTTAAAATAAATTTTGAACAAATTCTTGTAGTGGATCCTTTTATCGATTTTTTGCTACTATGGTTAATTTGAAGAAGAAGAAAAAAAAACCATACATTTTGAAGAAAAATAAAATGTATAAAAGTTACGCTAAAAACACATAATAGGTAGCTTTCATTTTTGAAAACTATTCAGTGTGTTTGGGTTGAGTTTTCTGAATTAAGTTTTTTAAAAACTGACTTTTTTGGTTTTCGTATTTTTTTGTTTTTAGTGAATATTTTTAAATTTTAAACATTTTTTTTTACTTTTTTAGATGCACCTTACTTGGATATATCTAAAAAGTAAAAAATTTGTGAAAAATATTTTAAAAATTAATAAATACATAAAAATATAAAAAAAAATGTACTGAATTCTTATATTTTTTTGTATTTTTAGTATTTAGTGAATTTTTAAAAGATTTTTTTTACAATTTTTTTACTTTTTAGGTGTATTTATGTTAGGTGTGTCTAAAAAGTAAAAAAAAAAATTTAATTGGCTTAAAAACATATTAAAAAATATTGAGTAAAGCATAAACAAATAAAAACCTTAGTAAAATAAAAAACACGAAAATAAGAAAGTAGAATTTTCTGAAAAGTGTTTTTTGAAAAGTGGAAACAAACAAGGTGATTCTAATTTTGACAAGGTGGTTTGAATTTCAAATTATGGCAATGGCCTTTATAATTTTTGGGTCTTACTAACAAGTGTCCTTGGGATATTAGAAAATAAAAAATAAATAAATAAAATACGAAACCCTTTTCACTAATTTTAAAACACTTTTCATTAATTTGATTTCCCTTTTAACCTTTTATTTTCATGGTACTATTCACCTCAATCCATAGTTCTAAATCGCGGTATCGGATAACGTAACGGTATCGATCGCGGAGTATCGGTATTGTTAATATCGGCCGGTATGTGTCGGGAATCGGGTGTCGCGACCGTGAAATTTTAAAAATCATTAGCAATCCCTCTAAAATTGAATTTTATGCATTTTTTGACTCTTTTAACCTTAATTTGTTACATTTTAATCAAAATTTTGATATGTAGGATCATTTTACTCATTTTCAACTAAATGATGTATTTTATTTTTGGCATATGTTAAACTTTTTAAAAAAAAAATTGATTTGAATATTTATTTTTCTTGTATTGAGAAAAAAATAAATATATATATATATATATAAATAGAGTGTGGGTGTATAAAAAAAATTAAACATTTACAATCTACAAATCCACCATAACCCATGCATCTCCATGTACCTAAGTACCTCTCTTCTCACCCATTTCAATCTCAGACTGGTAATGCTCCATGTATATCCATTTCAATATCAGACTCGCATACATAATACAACCACAAACAATTCTCTCTCTCTCTCTCTCTCTCTCTCTCAAAATGTTGACCGGAAGTTGTAGAATTCCGTCAAACCCAAAAAAATTCAGATTTAGATTGTCGACAAAAAAAAAAAAAAAAAAGAAACAGAAACAGAAACAGAACAGAGCACAACAACAAAAAACAGAGATGTATCTGACTGTATCGGCCCGTATCGGCCCATGTATCGGATTCAAGCCGCTACGTACCGGGACTCGGACGTTACGGACGCGAAATTCATTCTCACCGGTATACCGTGAGTATCCGACTCGACACTCCAATTTTCCGGTACGAACCGGCCGGTATGACACGTACCGGCCGATATTTAGAACCTTGCCTCAATCCCAATACTATATAATATCCCAAATGCAATCTTTAGCATGCCTAATTTTTTCATGCAACCAATGGTTATTAGTGTAAGTTGACGCAAAAACTGTACCAAAAGTTTTAAAGAGTACTAAATGTATAAATGCTAGGCAAGATTCACATTTATCAAGTTGCTTACATTTTCAAAATTATACTAAATTAGTTTTGTGGCATAAAAAATGGCTTTGTAAATTAGTAAGAAAAAGAGTCAACAGTGGCCATGAGAAGCATCATGAAGACAACAGTTGAAATGAAATTGCATAAAATGCTCCATCTTGAGAGAGAGAGAGAGAGAAATGGCCCTGCAATAGGGAGAGAGAGAGAGAGAGACAGAGAGACCCTACTATAGGAAATTGGGATGTAGATGTTTATATATTTGTGGGAAAATGCTAGAGGTCTCAAATTTTCTCAACAATGATTCATCCCTCCTTTTCCCCCACCCCCTTTGACCCCTCTCTCTCTCTCTCATTGGTTACATTTCTTTTTTCTTTTTATTTTTTTCCTGCTCCTCTAATCACCACCCGCCACATGGCAAAGGGGGTGAGGGGGTGACCCCAAAAGGGGGTCCCAAGCATTATTCAAATTTTCTATCAAATAAATATATCAAATGTCTCACATGAGTGTGGGGCCCACAAAATTGCAAACCCCACACTTATGTGAGACATTTGGTCATTTGTTTGGTAGAAAATTTAGTGTCCCTAGCATTACCCATATTTATGGGATCTTGGTCTAACGTTTTGTGTCAAGAGGTAATTAATTCATGATGCAATTGGCATTAAATGCTTTAACAAATTTTATTAATTATTCTGGAATATTACACTTTGTCCTCTAAAGTTTCACTCATTTTTCACTTTAACCCTTTAAATTTAATTTTTTTCACTTTGACTCTTTACGTTTGCAATCCTTCCCTATTTTGGCCATTCAAGTTTAATTTTTCTCACTTTGGCCGTTCATGTTTGCAATCCATCCCACTTTGGCCTTTCATATTTGCAATTTTTCCCACTTTATTCTTAGACTAACTTTCATCCAAAAAACTAACAGAATCTGTTACATCATTAACACATCAGCTCCATGTGTAATGTAAAAAATTCACTAAAGATGCAAAAATAAAAAAGAAAAACAAAAATTGAAATTTTTTTTAGTCTTTAGTGAACTTTTCTTTCAAAATTATTCATAAACATTATTAAATTATAAATGCATCTCAATTAGATGCAGCTAAAAAAATAGAAACAAATTTAACTAAAAAAAGAAAAAAAGTTTACTAAAGACCAAAAAAATGAAATATGCTGACTCAAACACCTATATTGTCAATTCTGAAATGAAAAATTTACTATCATTTTTTTTCGTCTTTAATGAACTTTTTTCTTCTTTTAATTAAATTTGTTTTTTATTTTTTTAGCCACATCTAATCTAGATGCATCTATAATATAATAATGTTTATAAATACATTTGAGAAAAAAAATACTAAAGGCTAAGAGAAATCTAATTTTTTTGTTTTTTATTTTTATTTTTTATTTTTGTACCATTAGTGAATTTTTGACATCATATATGGAGCTGATGTGTTAGTAATATGACAAATTCTGTTACTTTTTTGGATGGAAGTTAGTCTAGGAGTAAAGTGAGAAGGATTGTAAATATGAAGGGCCAAAGTGAAAAGGATTACAAACATGAAGGGCCAAAGTAGGAAAAATCAAACTTAAAGGGCCAAAGTGGAAAGGATTGCAATATAAAGGACAAAAGTGTGAAGGATTGTAAGCATAAGGGCCAAAGTAGAAAAAATCAAACTTAAAGAGCCAAAGTAAAAAATAGATAAAACTTTAGAGGGTAAAGTGTTATTTACCCAATTATTCCTGAAACTATCCTCTTCCCAAATAGATTTGATTGAACCTTACACCTATATGCTATTTTTTTTTTTTTACCTGTAATGCCCTTAGAGAATCTACAATGCTAGCATTAAAATATATTCTTTTTGAACCTTGCACAGTTGAACAATCTGAAATTATAAACCCTATAATTTAGTTGTCTTTTTTATTTTTTCGAAAAAAAATATACGGAGAAATAGAGAAATAATTAATTTTTTTAATGACTTTTTAATTTTTTAATTATTTTAGTCTATTGCCAAAACAATAAGCATTATCCTAGTTTCTTTTCATTTATTATTTTTTCAATATCTCCTTTTATTTACTATTGCAAATCCAAGAGATAATCCATAACCTAAAATTTGTCTTGTTAGTAGGGAGTCCTAGATAGTTATTGGGAATCAAAAGTAATACGGGCAGCTCAACCATTTTTGGGGCGCAAGATATTAAGTTAAGGTCATTTGATATTTAAATTACTAATTTAAATAGTTATTCTTAAAATTTCATATTATAAATATTTTAATTAAAGTTTCACTTTTTTAAAAACCAATTATTTCATATATTGTTAAGAACATTATCTAGATAAGGTAATTCTACTTACACTTCATATTTAAAATTTTATTTACACAACTTCAATCCTCTTAATACACACATCTCTTTACACTTTTTTATTACAATTTTATCCTTTTAGTCAATTATATTTTTAACCTTTACACAAATCAATCGTCTCTCAATCAACACCACTCTACAAACCCTAACCCTAGTCGCTGACAGCACCGCCACCCGTCACCGTCACCTCTTCCTTCTTCGGTGACTCTCTCTCTCCTCCTTCTTCTTCTTCTTCTTCTTCTTATTCTTCTTCTTCTAGACTTCGCATTTCTCTCTTTGTGCACAACTTGCATCGCTGCTGCAACTTATGCCACTCTCTTCACCGTTGACATTGCAACTCATAATGGTGAGGAATGAATCGTAATGGCAAGGTTTGTCACAACAACAATGATGGAAATAGAGATGTTGGAAAAAGGAGAACGGGGTTATTCGTGGTGGTGGTGGAGTTGCCATTATCTACGACAGTGGCTAGTGATGACAATTTAAGGCGGAGGCTGGCGATGGTGAGGAACAATGACAACAATGAGTAGTGGATGAGGGAAAAGAGCGACGACAAAAAGCAATGGATATAGTGGTTGATGGAGGCGGCAAAAGAGAAAAGAGGTTATGGAGGGGCGACGATCGAAAAGGAGGAGCTGTGGCTGTGGCTGCAGTCAGTAGTGGTAGTGATTAGGGTTAGGGTTTGGGTTTGTTGAAGAAGAGGGTAGTTTGGTATTATTTAAAAAAAAAAAAATAAGGGTGCGTAGTGAGATAAAATTAGAATTTTCAATTTAGGTGTGGTGTGAACTAAGCAAATAGGAGAATATGGTGTGAATTGAGTGGTTTAGTAGTCTGTAAATCGAATTTCTCTTTATCTTATTACACCCTATGTTTTTTATTACAATTTTATCCTCATATCAAATTACCAAATAGACATAAATCTAAAATTTTCAAACCCTAATTTCTCACCAATCTCTTCCACTGCCTTTTTGGTTGGTGTCGTTACCGTCGCTTATCTCACTCACTTCTCCACCACAAAACTATTTTCTATCACCTATCTCTTCCACCTTCGACACCTCTCCCATTCTGCGACAATCTCTCGCAACCTTTCCCATCCCGTGACCTCACCAATCAGTACCCAACTCCATTGCGTCGCCACCTCCGCATCCACAACCACCACTCCTACCCTACGATTGCTCCATTGTAGCTCGGTGACCCTAACAGTCAACTTTGCAACCCATCTACAACCATCTTTGTGACCCACTCGCAGCTACCATGTGTTGCCTCTATCGTCGCGCTTCTCTACTAGATTTAAGAGAGAAACAAAACGGGAAGAGAGAGAGGTTGTTTATGGCGAAGAGGTTTAGAAAGAAGGATTGTCGTTCTGAAAGGGTGGGAAGGAAGGGTCGATTTGGTAAATGGGACGAAAGGTGGTGTGGTGGTGATGGTGGGGTCCCCAGATGAAAGGAGATTGATGACAAAGGTTTTGTAGGAGAAGTGAATCACCAATGGGAAACAGGCTGATGAGTGGAGGTTGGAGATGGAAACACTAGTCATTGGGGGTGGAGGTCGGAGGTGGCAGGAGTGGTTGTCAGAGATGTGACGAGTGGTTATCGAAGTAAGTAGAGATAGGGATTAGAAAGTTTGGGGTGTAATAGATGAGGGCATATTTGGTATTATGATAAGTATAAAGAGATAGAGTAAAAATTTGAATTTTTATGTGTGGTGTAATAAGAAATTTGGTGTAATGAGCTAATTTGATTATGTAAATAGGAAATGAATTTTTTTATTTTTTAGTTTTTGGTTGAGAAATTTGACCCGAAGCAATCATCAAAAATTTTAAAATGCGAAAAGTACACCTTAATAGTTTTTAATAAATAAAAACTTTCAAAATAAAATTTTCATGTAATAAGGACATAAATATTTTGTCCCTTTAATTTTATAGATAATTTCCCTATTAGAAAATTATACAATAGTCATGGATTATCACGTAGTCATACCCGCTCATCAATGACCATTCATTATGCCCCTTATATTTATCAATCACCCAACATAAATAATCAATACTCAATTTTTTTCCACCAATTAGAATATAATGAAATACCACGTGATTGTATTTGGACAGACTA